ACGTATCTCATCTATTTAGCAAATAGTTGTGCAGTCATATCCTTGGTGTTCTTTCCACAATGTGCTCTCTTATTTTTTTTCAATACTGATAGGCTGAAGATTTTCTGAATTTTATGATCTGTTTTCATTTTGCTTAACAATTCCTTATTTGATTTATCCATTTCCCTCTTGCATCTTACTATAACAGAAAAGAGAAACCAAGATGTGCCTTAAACACTTTACCTAGAATCTTCTCAGATAAATATCCAAGTTCATTGCTTACAAATTTTACTTTCCACCCAACAGACAGAATTCAGACAAGCTCTTTGCAATTTTATAACAAAGATCACCTTTCCTCCAGTTTCCAATATGTTCTTCATTTCCATCTGAGACCTCACTAGAAGCACCTTTAACATTCATATTTCTGTTGACATTCTGTTCATGACAATATATGTGTATATCTAAGATGAGAGAAGCTTTCTCTGTAGTTCTTCCCTTTTCTTTCTGAGCCTTCACCAGAATCACCTTTAATATGCATATTTCTACCAACAATCTCTTCAAGGTAATCTAAGTTTTTTCTATCATACACCTCAAAACTCTTGCATCCTCTACCCATTACCCAATTCCAAAGTCATTTACACATTTTAAAATATTTGTTACAGCAGTGATCCACTTCCCAGTGGTAGGGCTACCATTACAAACTACCCACAAATTGGGTGGCTTCGACAACAAAAAATTATACTCAGTGGGCTAGAAGTCTGGGACCAAGGTGTTGACAAGGTTGGTTCCTTCTGAGAACTAGAGGGAAAATCAATTCCATGCCTCTGCCCGAGCTCCTTGTGGGTTGCTATTTTTGACATTCCTTGGCTTCTATATGCATCACCCCAATCTCTGCCTTCAATTTCGCATGTCATTTTCCCAGTGTGTGTGGGTGCTCCAATTTTCTGTTTTTATAAGGACAACATTTATATTGAATTAAGGCCCACTCTAATGACCGCATTTTCATTTATCTCTGTAAAGTTCCTATTTCCAAATAAGATCACATTCTGTGATACTGAGGGTTAGGATTTCAACTTATCTGTTTCAGAGGGGCACAATTCAACCCATAACCCTCCCATCATAGTGTTAGGGATTACGGAGATCACAGTTAGTTGTGCACCAAATCCAAAAGGCCCAAGAAATGCAGTGCTCCTCTATATCCCTATTGAACTTTTACTTTATATAACAACGTAAAAGAAAAGAACAACCACCGTTCTTCATAGGGACATAGGGACCTTGGCCTAATCCTTAGTCTTGTTTAGTTTTGAAAGCGGAGACATCAGTTAAGAGTTGAATGAGAGTCTCCAGTTCTCCTCCAGCTTCACTGAGAGGAGCAGAAGGAATAGCGCTTTATTAATCAGGATCCATTACTTTGTAGACCCTAGCAGACCACCCTCTAGGGCACCATGGCTCACTACCTTGCCATGAGTTCCTTGATGGGAGAGCCCATCAATTTCCTCTTTGAGAACCCACACATAAGTAACCAGAACCAGCGATCTTGTTGTGAAAGTGCTTGCCCAGATGGTCCTGGAGAGAGCGTGTGATTACTAGTTTTACATCACTCTTTCTGCCAGCCAGTTGTTGCTATCTGTGCAGCAGCTCCTTTTTCAATTCTGATGATTTGTCATCAGTGAATATCTGGATTGTGTCACAGACTGATCAGCATGGCCTTATGAGGAGGTTTAATTGAGTTCAATAACCAGTAGGAGTAAAACGAATGAACCTAAAAAACTGAGTCTCGTTAACAGTCTCATCTACCACCAGGGTGGCTCACAGGGAAGCTGTATACTTTGGAAGAATAGTCCAACTATGTTTTTTAAAGTCAAGGAACTTATTGTGTTGGACCAAATCTTTCTAAGCTCAAGTAATATCCAGCTGAGAATGTAGATGGTTTTGGATGCTTGCAGGCTTTCATCCCAGTCCTCTCTTCCTCCTCCTCTTTAGGCAAAGTGGCTGCTAATAGTATACTCTGAAAGTGGGGATCTATAATGATACACCCCACAAGATGACACTCTCACTAAGTTTTCCTTCTACATCATGGAGGTGAAAAACCCAAGTCTCTAAGATCACTTCAGATAGATGGGTGAAGTAACTCCAAAGGGTTCTACATTCTTTTGCATTTTAGGCATGAGTCTCAATAATTTGCTGCATCACAGGCTGTCTTTCAGTGTCAGAGACATGCTTAGAGCTAGCACTGGTAACTGGGTGCAGCTCAGCAACTCAGGGTCTCTGATGACTTTTATTGCCATTGCCTCTCAGATTGTATTACTAGGTAGGGATTGCTTCCCCAGCTTTCCTAGAGTTCCTCTTTGGGATTTATAATTTAACCCACCAAGCAAGCTCAGCCAGGGAATTGGAAGCTAAAGGGAAGGATCATTAGTTCTCCCTGAGACCTGAAAATCTCATAAACAATCACTAGCATTCCCCCAAAGCAACCCCAGGGCCCACAAAATACTTCCTGAGACACATTGTCATGGCTGGCGAAGTGCTCTAATGGGACTCCCAGACTCTTGCAAAGGATTCATTACCATCATCCATGAGTGTCCCATGCATTTCTCTAACATCTCCCAAAAAATCTCCATGGGATCCTCAGGGTTCTTTTCCTTTCTAGAAAGGCAACATATTTACTGGTCAACTCTGCTCACTGCACCACTTTGTCAGTGAGAGAGCTGCCAGTTATTGAGTTAGTCAATTAATATAACAAGTCAAACTGAAAGGAATAATTAAGCCTTTTTTCAGATACTGTGATAATATAAGCAAGAGTCTACTCAGGAAAGGGCCCAGCTTTAGCAAAATTCCACTTTTCCCCATTAAAGGAACCAGGTGAGTGGCAGATGTTTCATTTAAAAATGGGGAGATCATTTCATTGCCACGGGAACCCCAAATAAAAAGCTCTTGCCATTATATAGATGTGGCATGTGGAGAAGACCAGGCGTGGAAAAGTACTGAACACTGTCAGAAGAAAGTTGTCTTCAAGGCTCCCCAGTAAGGTCATCTAAGCAGAGTCCCCTGAATAATACAGTGCCTTAGTTGAACTCTCTACTCCCTCACAAGAAGGACTCCAAATGGAGGGTTCCTGAGCTAGGTGTGCAGAGATGAGTAAGAGCATGGTTGGTCTGGAGAGATCTGAACCCATACCTGCACATCCGTACAGAGACCACAGTGCACTGGCTCTATGTTACATCCAGTGTGGGGTGGAAAGCTGTCTTCCAGGATAACTGCCAGATAATACCTTTGTACTTGTCTATGGGTGTGCCTGAAATATCACACACAAGATTTTAACTTGAACCCATATTCCTTAGAATACACATATATATTTATGTGTATATATCTACTTACATGTACATACACATGTTTACGTGTATATATTTATACATAAACATGCACGGGCACATATGCATGCGTGTGTACATGAATACACATATTTTAGAAATCATGAGATCTCTTGGACACCTTTAATTTTAGTGTCTCAGGGCTTATTCTTGACTTCCTTCATTTTGTATGTGTGTGTCCTTTCTTTTGTATTTTGAATCCTGACTCTCAAAGCACCAACCGATTTATGCATTTGCTCTATCCTGTAATACTTTGAAACTTACAGAATTGCTTAGCATATACTATTACAAAAACAAACATACTAAAAGAATTTCATGATTTGTTTGCAGTCTGCCCCCAACACTCTTGCCCAAGACTGAGGGTATGTTTCGAATACTGTATTTATTAGTTACATGAATTAGTACTTGTTTTTTGTTCCGTGTAGTAGGTTCATTTTATTAAGTTTCCTTTCAGTTTTAGTTCCTGCTTCTTATCCTTATTGAATTAATTTTATTTTTAGAATATTGCGTTCATGCATTTTGCATTGCTGTAAAGGAATACCTGAGGCTAGGTAATTTATAAAGAAAAGAGGCTTATTTGGCTTATGGTTATGCAGGCTGTACAAGCATGGTACCAACATCTGTTCAACATCTGATGAGGCTTCAGGAAGATTTTAGCCATGGTGGAAGGGAAGGGCATGTCACATGGCAAGAGAAGCAAGAGAGAGATGGGGGACATCCCAAAATCTTCATCAACAACCAGATCTTATGTGAACTCCTTACCATAGAGAGGGCACCAAGCCATTTGTGCAGGATCTGCCCCCATGACCCAAACACCTCCCACCACGCAATACCTCCAACCTTAGAAATCACATTTCAACATGAGATTTGGAGGGGACACACGTCCAAACCATATCAAATATGTAGAACATTATCCTATCTCCAAAAGTAAATATTATACAGAAGATATTCTTAGAAGAATATAATTTCTGCCACGGTCCTTCTCTTTGTATTCCCTTCCTTTTTCCTACCCTGTTGTCTTGTAGATAACCAACTACAGTGTTTGCTTCCTTATTTTACCTGTGTCTCATTTTGAAAAGGTTAATATTTCTCTATTTCTATTTTTTTCTGATTGGTTATTTCTGACCCAAATGTTACCATCCCAGATATCCTGTTTTTAAGATTATTTTTCACTTAACATTATCTTCTAGAAATCCCTCCATGTTAGTTTATAGAAACCTTTATTATTTTTACATAATATGTATAGTATTGTGTATAGTGATATGTAGAGTATTTATAGTATATTATAATTTACAGTATATATCTTTGTTTATTGAGTCAATATATTATACTTGAATATTTAGGTGTGTTGAATATTTTGCAATTACAAATAATATGGTAATGAATAATGTGCATACAAATTTTTATTGTTTGTTCTATTATTATTATTAACCTACAGTGTAAATAACCCATGAATTCTGAAGACCAATAGAAAATATACTTGATGCCTTAATGATATAATGAGACAGCTTTTGTAACACCCATTAAAACTATTTTCATCATTTTAATGTCAGATTTCAATTATGGTGATTTACTTATAATTTTATAAAAATGAGAAAAAATATTGCTGTATACTTGTTATAAACTTCAAATATAGAGATTTCACAATAGATTTGTTTTTTCATTTTGTGGACTAAATACATCTCTTTATGTGGCTCATTTTGTAGTACCAGATAAAAATTCTATGTTTGTTCATCAAGATTCAGTGTCAAAACTCCAAATGCAAGAAAAGAAAAAAATAACTCCTGGAAGGGAAAGGCGTAATAGTAAGTGTAGTAATTATAGATAACTTTAAATTATTTTAAAATTGAACTTATCAGAAGATCTTTTTCTTTGATTCCTGAATATGTATTTCAGCATATATTTTAAGGAAATTGTAGACTTTGCCTGAAGTATGAACACCTTAAGGTAAGTAGAGAGCAAAAATGAAAATGTTAACTTCATGTTGGAATTTCTGGTCATAAGATTATTTCACAGCCATTGGACAAGCACTCAATATCTATCAAGGCCCAATAATTGGCCTACAGTATCTCAAAGAGTGTACCTTTCAGCTGACTCTGGGAGATTACAGTTTCCTGGAGATTATACCCAATGATCACTTATCACGTGTAGTGATGTTCTTCTCTAGCCTTCAGTCAACAAACTGAGAGGTTGTTGAGATCTGTAACTCAAACAGCAAGTGGGAATTACAGGAGCCAAGGAGAAGGATAGTCCTGAAGGCTTGTTGGTTAGCCCTAGGGCATTTTGTTGGTTGAGCGCCACACAAAGGTAAGGTCTTCTTGGTACTCTCATAGATGGGTGGCCATCCCAAGTTTCTTGTGTGGTGGGGAGTGTTAAAGTGTCCATGACCAACGATGATTGAGCTTCCTTTTCATTTTAGGGGATTGAGAGGACCAAAAGATAGGCAGTCATCTCCTCTGGAATGCGATGTGCTCCTTCCCAGATTACAACACAAGGATTTCACTTTAGTGCTAAGTTTTTGTATGTATTAATGGCCCAGCCAGTCTTTATTAGTTGGTGCCTGTGTCTGGACCCACCAGAAAAATGCTTTCAATATAGTAGAAAGCTAGTGTACCCTCCAAGAGCAGAAATTTTTCCAGGTTACGCCCTATCCATGGATGATAGATAGTTGGGGATTTTGGGTAGTCTTGTCGAAGGACATTAGTGATATATTGCAATCTACTCCACATAAGAATACACTGACCCTTATCATTGGTGTGGACAGGGATGCTGAAAAAGAAATTTTGTATATCAGTTGTTGTATACTAAGTTCTTTTCTCTCAGGCAGTAGCATCTATGACAGTCACAAAGTCAGGTACTGCCAGTACCCAAGGCTGCACTGTGGCATTGAGCAGCCAGTAATGCATTGAGGCTGTGTGCATCTGAGGTCATGTGCACAGGTCAGATGGAACTGTTTATGGAGGATTAGTCTCACAGAAAACTTTGTCATCCTTAAGTACAGCAGTGAAGGCATTTATTTCCTTTTTTACCCCAAGCAATCAGTATTGTTTTTGAGAAACAACAGCACAAGGTAGTCGGGTAGGTTCATGGCCTTTCACATGCCCCACTAAAATGACCCTAACTGAGCAATTTCTTCAGTGCTTGTGGGCAAAGGTGAGCAGGTGTTCACTTAGTGATATATTTATAACAAAATATATTGTGTAGTGTGCACTATAACAGTAGAATTTGTAATTGGCCAAAGAGACCCATCCAAAGTTGGGTCTAGATAAAGTCCCCATTGGTGGTGACCTCAGACTTCAAACTAGAGAGAATTATCAGTTTCCCCTTCATTCTGATGCTGGAGTATATATTCATAGTCACTTATATACCAGTATCCAAAGGCCCAAGAAATATAATTATCCACACCTTCCCATTTAACTCTGAACCGGGTCCCCACTGGGGATTTGGGACTTAGCCTAACTCCTGGTCTTGTTCATTGTTGGAAGATGAGAGTTCTCAGTAAAAATTAGAGGGGCTCATCAATTCATCTCCAAATTCACAGGGAAGGGTAGAGGGAGTAATATTTTATTAATCATAGAGTCCTCAATGTGCTGACCCTAGTAGGGCCCATCAACTTCATTGTTTAGTAGCCCGATCTAGAGATTGTCTCTACATGCATCATTCAGGAGAGGGCGCTTGATTGCCATTTTATTAGGTTGGTGCAAAAGCAATTGCGGTTTTTGCCATTGAATTACTTTTGCACCAACCTAATACATCACTTTCCTGCTGGTCAGTCTTTTCTACCCCAGGAACTGCTGCTTTTCCCATGCCTGAAAATTTTTCAGTTAAGTTCTGGATTTTGTCACAGAACATATGACCTGACCTTATGCGGGAGTTTCATTGAATTGGAATCTCAGCAAGAGTGGCATGAAAGAACCTAGAAATCTGAGTCTGGTCAACCACCTCCTCTATTGTTCTTACTCTTGATTGTAGAACCAAAGGACTACCAGCGTTGTGATTCACAGGGCTGCTCTAGCCTCTGCAAGGGTGGGCCAAACATGATTTTAGTGGTAGGTTCATCATGGGTATGCCCAAGTGAAAAGAGCCCAAGCAATTACTAAGCTGAGGAATGAGAGGGTCTTGAAGTTGGCATCTCATATACCCCCTTTCTTTCTCCTCCTTGAGTGAAGCTTCTCTGTCCTGATACTCTGAAGGAGGGGATCTGTAGTGACTCATTCCACAAGGTACCACTTTTTCTCATTAAGTTTAAGAAGAGTACATAATGTTCTAAGGTGCCTTTGGTAGATAGATAAAGTGATCTCAAAAGGTTCTACATTTTAAAAAAAATCCTTTACAATTTAACCATGAGTCTCAATACTTTGCTGGGACATAGGCTGTCTATCATTGCCTGGTAGCTGTTTAGAACTAACAGCAGTCCTTGGGTGCGAATTAGCTCACAGGTTCTCTGGAAACTCTCAGCCCCATCTCCATATAATTATATACTGTAATTATACCATTGTTTGTGGTATATATATCTGTTCATTTGACCAATCTCCTATGTGTGAAAATCTTAATGGTTTTGAATACTTTGCAATTACAAATAATGCTATAATGAATGAGCTTATGCATGTGCATTTTCATTGTTTGACCTATGATTATATATTAAGCTGAAGTATAAATCATCATGTATTATGTAAGTATTTTGATTATGTATTAAAGTGTAAACTTATGAATCCTGGAGACCAATATAAACTTTATTTGATGCTTCAGAATATTTATGAAATGATGCGTTAGCTTCCATAACAGCCATTAAAACTATTCTATTTTTGTGTCAGATATAGCATTATGGTAATTTACTTATAACTTTATAAAAATAAGAGAAATGTACATGTTATACATTCATAGATTTATTTTTCCATTTGGTGGACTAAATGCATCTCTTGATATAGCTCATATTGTAGTACCAAATGAAAATGTGGTTTCTGTTCATCAAGATTCAAAGTCAAAACTCCAAATGCAAGAAAAGAAACAAATAAATCCCAGAGTGGAAAAGCACAAAAGTAAGTATAATAATTATTGATAACTTTAAATTATTTTATATTGAACTCATCAAATCTTTTCCTTTGATTCACCAATGTGTACTTCAGACTATATTTTATCAACTTTTGACTTTGACCTAATGTGTGAATACCCTATGATAACTAGAGAACAAAAGTAATGATACTTTTTGGTTGGTATTTGAATGGTCATTAATTACTAAGTATTATCACTGCCTCCTCACATGCTCATGAAAACTATTCATATGATTTTCTCATTTGACTCCCATGGGTGGAAAGTCTGATTATTACTTGGCATATCCAGAAGTTCTATTGCACATCTATCTTTTTTCTATTTAGCATTTCCTTTTGAAATCCAAAAAAAGGATATATCACTTGAGCATCTGTTGCCTGAGGAGAAAGTTTTATTATCAAGAAGAGAATCTCAAACCAAGAAACTTCAAGCTAAAGTAACTTCAAGAAAAAGTAAGTAATTATTTATAAATCTTATCAATTATTTTTATTAAATTCAGGAGAAATTTGTTCTTGGTTCATAAATATGCCTTGAACCATATGCTTCTTTTGCTACTTATTTCCATCACATTACTAGATCTTTATTGATGACTTGTTTCTTTTACAATTACTGAGTTACCTGTGTCAAATCTGCCACTTTGTGGATTTCTCTTTCTTCTTGTATTAGTATCAGGTTTTGCTTTGTATCTTATAATGCTCTATTTTTTTGTGTGTGCAAGTAGACTTAAATTTATATTCTTCAAAGACAGAACAGTTTTTTCCTTATGAAAAGATTCACTTTACCATTTTCATAATTTTTGTTTGTTTTCCTTAATAACTACTTTATCTGTTATTATGGCTCCACAAACTTTCTTCCGGTTGGTATTTGCTTGATACATTTTTTCATCCTATTAACTTCTTTGTTTCTTTGTGATTTTGCTATGTCTATTGTAACAAACTTAGATAATTGTGTATACTCTTTTTAAAATCAGCTTGAATTTTAAGTTCTGGGGTACATGTCCAGGATGTGCAGGTTTGTTACATAGGTAAATGTGTGCCATTGTGGTTTGCTGCACAGATCAACCCATCATCCAGGTATTAAGCCTAGCACCTATTAGCTGTTCTTCCTAATGCTGCCCCTACTTCTGCCCCCTACTCCAGACAGGCCTCAGTGTGTGTTGTCCCTGATGTTTCCATATGTCTCGTTGTTCAACTCCAACTTACAAGAGAGAATATGTGATGTTTGGTATATGCTCATATTTAGTCTGATATTTTTTCTTTTAATTATCTCTTATAACCATACATAATCTAATTATTGATTTTTTAGGTGCAATTATATCATTTTTCTTGACTTCTCCTATTTTTCCTACATGGTATGTTTCTTTCACTCTCTTTCTACTCTATTTTTTATCATTATACATTTTTCCTTAGCAATATTTGGTACCAAAAATTTTAAGCTTTACCTAAAGTATGAATATAATAAGAAAAGGAAAAATTTTAAATATACAAGTATTTATAATCATGTTTATAGTAGTAAATAAAATAATGTTTACAAATAAAATGTATTTAATACCCATGTATATAAAAATTAACAGAACAGCTTTTGGCACAAGTAAAAATGTATTTTTATGCTTATATTTTAACTAGACACCGATGTGCTTATATCATTAAAAAAAGACAAAATATCATTGAGTAATTAATATATATTGTGAATCTAGAGGTTGCACCATAGATTCAGTTCTCTAGTGCTTTTAAAAGCCTTCCTTCTTGTAGTCCAGAAAAAGATGAGGTATCAGATGAAAATCTTTTGCCTGCAACTGGAGCTGCTAGAAAGAAGAGATTCCATAGTAAATATGGAAATAATTAATATTATTAAATTACTTGTAATTACATTAATGAAATTTTAATTAAGCAGAATTTTGTCCATGGATATGTATTCTGCTACAATGTTATAGGCATCCATTGAACTCATTTTTTGTTGTATTATTTAAATTTATTTCTAGATTTCCTTGGATCTTGATTATTCTATCAATTATTGAGAGATGTATATTAAATTATCCCACTATGTGGATTTACCTATTTCTTCTTACAGTACTGTCCATTTTCCTTATACTGTCTACATTATTAGATGTATACAAGTAAAAAGTTAGGTTTTCCTTATGAACTCAACCTTTTATTTTTATGAAAGGGATCATCTTAGTCTCTAGTAAGGTCTTTTGACTAAAAGTCTATTTTGTCTGACATTGACATAATTACTACAGAGTAATTTTGGTTAATGTTTGCATTTTTTTCAGTCATATCTCTATAAAGAACTTATAGTTAAATTGTTTATCAGTTCAATGTGTGTCTTTGTTTTTAGAATATGTAAAATATGTAATCCATTTACAATTATTGTACTTACTGATATATTTGGATTTAAATATATTGGGTGGGGGTGTTTTTCAATTTTTTTTGTTTGATTCAGATTACTTTCTATTTTCTTTCTTTCTTTATTTTGGAATTACTTTTAATCAGTTTAATTATTCAGTGTGTCACCTATGTCATAAAAAAACTTTTAAAAATGTGAGTACACTTAGTAAAATAAAGTCTAATTTCAACTTTCTAAGTGTATGTGTGAAGTAACAAGAGTGCCTCCACATACGTTCAGGAAGAGTACTCTGATGGGTTTTGCATTTACCTTCATGATTCATTTTGAAAATGCATCAGAGGTTTTATTGTGTGACATTTATTTAAATTGTATTGACTAGTGTAAAGTCTTATAAAACTGATAGGGGCAGGCACAGTGGCTCACACCTGTAATCCCAGCACTTTGGGAAGCTGAGGCAGACGGATCACGAGGTCAGGAGATTGAGACCATCCTGGCTAACACGGTGAAACCTCGTCTCTACTAAAAATACAAAAATTAGCTGGGCGTGGTGACAGGCACCTGTAGTCCGGGCAACTCAGGAGGCTGAGGCAGGAGAATTCCTTGAACCCGTGAAGTGGATGTTGCAATGAGCTGAATCGACTCCTGCACTCCAGCCTGGGCGACAGTGAGACTCTGTCTCAAAAAAAGAGAACAAAACAAAACTGATAGGAAACTTTGAATGGTTCTTTCTATATATTAATAATTCAGAGACTTTACAGTAAAGTCTTTTTCATTTTTTATTGGGTTAAAAGCCTTTCTTTATGCAACTGAGAAGATGGATGAAATAGTAGATGAAAATCTTCCACCTGAGATAAAGTTTTAATTTTAAAAAGCCCATCTCAAATTACAAAACTTAGTACTGGCAGAAAAGTGAGACTTCAAAGTAAATACAATCATTAAGAATATTGTGTAATGATTTTAGTTAAAATTCTCTCCTTTGTTTATATGTTCAATCATAAATATGATTTTTACATGTCATGTATACATATATGTGTATATATAGAAAACGTGTGTGTATATATGTATATTCTCCATTGTCGTTGATTAATTATATTTTTCATGTGTTCTGAACTTCATTGAGTTTCTGTTTATTTTATCATTTATGAGAAAGGTATTTTAAATTCTACTGTGATTACTTATTTCTCTATCTCTTTGTAGTTCTGCCAGTTTTTGTTCTGTTTCTAAAGCTTATTATATACATAGACATTTTAAATTGTTAAGTTTTCTTAAGAGTGCCGAAACTATTGTCTTTATGGTGGACATTTTTAAAAATAGACTTAATTTTTGGGTCATTCTTATGTTCACAGTAGAGAGGAAGATAGAGATTTCTCATATACCACCTTCCCCCACCTACATGTAGCCTCACCCACGATATGGTGGACATTTTGTAGTAACTTTCTTTGTCATTGATCTGTCAGGTATTAACATAGCATCTTTTTAATATAAGCATTTGCAGAACACAGTTTTTCATCATTATACTTTCAACCTTTTTGTATTATTATAGCTTAGCTGTATTATATGTGTTAAATGTATTCCAGTTATTTTTTAAATCCAATGTGGTAATCTTTGAATTGAAAATATAACATTTAACACATTCATATTTAATGTAAGTACTGATATTTTGTGGGTTAATATACTATCACTTATGTTTTCTGTATTTCTTACCTGATCTGTTTTTGAATCTCCTTTTAAAGTTTATTTTTAATATGTTTTTATCATTTTTATTACCCATATCTGTTATAAAAATTTCTTTATTATAAAATATGAATACCTTATGAAACCATTTTCTTGAAAAGTTCTATATTTTTACACTTTACATACTCAGCCTATAACTCACTGTCTCAACAACGTGGTATTTGATTATATTATTTCAAAACATGAGAGGAAATATTGAGGGATAATTGATATGTATTTTGAATCACAGAGGTTTTTTTTGATAAATTCGTTTCTCTATTTAATGGATTAAAAGCATCTTTTTTGTAACTCAGAAAATGGAAGAGGTATTAGATGAAGATTTTTTACCTGAGGATAAAGTTGCATTTTCAAAAAGGAAATCTCCAGCTAAGATATTTGGAGTTATCAAAATGGAAACACTAAATAGTATGATAATTTTCAATAGCATTGATTTATTTTTAAATTAGAGTAAGCTGAAGAATTTTGTTCTTAGCTTTGTGACTGTTTAGTCAGTATGTCTTTTGTATACATCTATTAGATCAAATATGTTTATTGTTCTGTTCAGTCCTTACTTTTTTCATTGAAGTTTTTCTGTTTGTTCTGTATTACCAAGAGATGTATGTTAATTTCTCCCACTGTGATTATGGATTTCTCTATGCCTTATGGTAGTTCTGTCAAATTGGTTTATATATTTGGACAATATCTTATTTATTTATTGTGTACAAATTTATACTTTTTACCTGGTAAATGGAGACTGTTAATCTCTGAAAATGCATTTTGTTTTATACAAATCAAAACCGTAGTGAGATACCATCTCATACTAGTCAGAATGGCTATTATTTAAAAGTCAAATACAACACATGCTGGTGAGGTTGTGGAGAAAAGGGAACACTTATACACTGTTGGTAGGAGTGTAAATTTGTTCAACCATTGTGCAAAACAGTATGGTGATTCTTCAGAGAGCTAAAAGCAGAACTACCATTCAACACAGCAATCCCATTCCTGGGTAAATACCCAGAGGAATATAAATTATTCTACCATAAAGATACATGCACATGAATGTTCACTGCAGCACTATTCACAAAAGCATAGATATGGAATCATCCTAAATGCCCATCAATGACAAATTATCTGGATAAAGAAAATGTGGTACATATACACCATGGAATACTATACAGTCAGAAAACAGGACAAGATCATGTCTTTTGCAGGAACATGGATGTAGCTGGAGGCCCTTATATTTAGCAAACTAATGCAGGAACAGAAAACCAAATACTGCATGTTCTTACTTATAAGTGGGAGCTAAATGATGAGAACTCATGAAGACAAAGGGAACAAAAGACACTGGGGTCTACTTGAGGGTAGAGGGTGAGAGAAGGGAGATGAGCAGAGA